GGTTCCAACAACATTCACCGCCTGTCGAAGGACTACAATGTTGCTCTATGTCCCAAGCGATTTTTAAAAAGACCTGCCTCGCCTAAAACAACAACAAAACTTACCCTCACATATAAAAACAGAGAGAGAGACACGAGTTACAAGTTGCGTGTCCACTCGTGTTGATACACCTCCGTCTGCCCCTCACGAAGGGCACATCGCATTACAACAGCTTCGTATGGCTGAATGGGCATTCTATTACCACGTATACAAACGTCCAACAGCGGTATTTTCGTCAAGAGATACTGGGAGATGATTTAGACTCCATGCAACCAAAAGTTTTGAAGAAACCCGATGTTTCGAAACCGACTCGATTCCTTCCTCAGGGGTGACTGCGGAGGCTACGTAGCAGCGTCGTCTTCAAAGCACTTGTGGGGTGGCTAATGACCCCCCCCCCCTCTCTCTCTCTCTCTCGTTTTGCCGTGGAGCGCAGTCCGTGTGTATACACTGGGGGAAGGGTTCCGAGAGAGTGCTTGATGTTATGGGCAGTCCTCTGTATGTGCCACGACTCGAGTAACAACCTTCTCCTCCAGTTCGGCTCACTTTCAAGGATGGCCGTCGCTTCAAAATTTATTTTGTGATCCAACGTCTCAGCATGTTCGGCGACTGCGAACATGCTTAGCCACCCCGCGAGTGCTTTGAAGACGACGCTGGTAGCCTCCACAGTCACCCCTGAGGAAGGAACCAAGTCGGTTCCGAAACGTCGGCTTTCTTCAAAACTTTTGGTTGGAGTCTAAATCATCTCCCAGTTTCATACCCAACCAGACAGACTTTTGTCGAATGTTTACTTTCACGAAAATACTGCATGCGCACACGGAAGCTTGGCTGTTTATATGGTACTTGATATCTGCAGTGCTTTGGAAATGTGCGAGTGTCGATACACGTGTACAGCGACATGTTTTCACTGAGTGAGTATAGCACAGAAATAAAGTGCTACAAATTTGGGAGCTTCCTTGAGTTTATTCGAAGGGGAAATGCACATCGAGGAACCATAAATGTGGATGAGAACGTCCGGCCATTGAAAGATTTCAAGCTGGCTGGAATGTTACACCACATCTTATTGCGCAAGACTTCCGAAACGTCTGTAGGAATGATAATTGAATGAAGCAGAAACGACCACAACAGCTATAGTTTACCTTCGCCTCTCGCTCTCCGTTTGGTGTTTTCGCCGTTGCTGGCACACTTCTGCAAATGCAATGATATGCTGATGCGACTCACCGTCAAGTGTGCGCGTAGATCGGCCATGCGTATACACTTGCACTGTATAGGCACATTCGCGCGTTGCCGTCAATAAGCATCCCGGGGATTTTGCAATCACCCGAGAAAAAAGCGGCATATGTAACGCGCATGCATTCAGCTCGCCAGAGGAACGCTTGCCGGCCATATTTGTCGCGCGACATGTTTAGAAGCGCAATCGCGCAGGTAGGCCCGGGTAGCGATTAGCATACTGCGTGCGGTCATTTACACTGGTCGGCCGCGCAGGGGGACACGTCTTCCCAATTACAGCATCGGCTGGCAATCGTACAGAGCTGGTCCGAAGCCTCGAGCGTCGCTAATCGCATTCCGATCGGGCTGCTGCCGTCTCGCACGGCTGCCTGCAGTGGGGGCCCATATGCACCATCTTTCTCTTCGCAAGTTCACCCCGCGGACACAGGTTTGGGGACCCGGCCGCCATTACCGGGTCGGCGATCAGCCGACGGACTTTGCGATGCGTCCGAACTGCTCGGTTTGCAAATGCTGCGCCGACGCAATTAGACTTTCGCCCGAGGCGCTTCTTGCGCCGCCTCGGCGCTCGCTTTTGCTCCCCGCGTGGCGCGAACCACGGCGCTGTTTTAACTTCCAAGCGTTCCCGAAGAAATGGAGCGATTAAATCGCGCGCCCTCCTCGATCTAGTGCCGCCATTAATACGTCCGCTGCTATTCGAGACGTTTCGGCCAATCCAGTGCGTCACAAGTTTGCTCTGAGCCTTTTTCCCGCGCGGTAGTTTATGCGGGTGCCGAGGCGTGTGTCTCCGCAGGCCATTAGTCACGCCTGTTTGTGGGACCGAAAGCGTCTTGCCGTCACAATGGCACGGTCACGAGCTCAGAACGGGCCAAGAGCGGCTGTCTCCACCACGTTGGCGCGGAGTGATGAGGGCACACAGACGAAAAAGCATCGCGTATATTCGTTTCGTATCAGAGCTTCACGCACCGTGATTGCGCAATCATACTAATGGACTCATTAGCGCAGCCCCTATGCGGACGAAAGGACAATCCTCGAGTCACTTGCATACCCATCCTTGAAAGATTGGTTCCCGTTCATAGTCACGAGTGACAGACGCTGTTGCTGTCTATGTAGTCGTGCATGCCTCGTAGAGGCGCAATTTAACATTTCACGATGTGCACGCTCTAAACGAGCGCCCTTTTATAGCATAGGAATGGAGTGACAAACGAGTGCAATCAGCTTTTCAGCCAAGTGCTTTGTCCCAATTCTTCGGCGAAGCTTTGGAATGAATCCGAAGCAGGAAGGAATTGGATTTATTGAAATGGTAAACGAGCGCATAGCGAATCTTGCATTAGGTGAATCGCCAAATAGGCTCCGAAAATAAAGTGGTTTTCTACAGGTATTTCTCCATGATGGCAGTCCTTTTGGGGTTTGGCGCATAGCGCGCACAGCTGACATGAAAACAGGACGAGCACTCGTCGTGCGTTTGTCTCGTGCGTGTTTCCTTGGACGCGCACTTACAATCTGCCCTGGTTATTTCACAGTCACTTATTGTTTACACGGGCTAACGCATTGCAACCAACTTTTGGCGTACGCATGTACTGTATGCACGTGTACATATCAAGTAACACAACTTTATTGATGGTGGCGCTTGAAATCGGTTGAGATACTGGAAGAGAGTCGCGAAAGGCATGAAAGCATAGGCCCCAGAAGTATCCAAAATACAATGTATTCTTCGCGTTCAATGCAGCTGAGATTCAGAGCCTATAGCACTGCCCTGTGCAGAAACTGCATCGCTTCACTCATTGGGGGGGGGGGGGGGGACAAAAACATACTTTTTTTCTGGTGAGCCCTGACCTGCCACACATAGTATTAACTATATATCTTTAAATAATGACGTTAACTCTCTTTTGGAGAGGCGCGCCTCCGACGACTACTCGAAAAGAGTATAGAGTGATCCCCAAAAGAGAGTCAACGTGTATCTTCAAGAAGAGTTGTGGGAAGTCTGGCCTAGAAAGAATAACAGGAACTCTTTCTGTCTTTTAACAGCACATATACTTCCGCTGCACCATACAAATATACGAACTGGCTGGCAGTTGACAACTGTGATCCTGCACATTTGCAAGATGGCATGTCGAAATAAGTGAATCGAAGGTGCAGTCACGTATACGCCTTGGTTTTGTAATAAGGACACGTTGCGTAACACTGATACATCACAGTCAACCTGACGCAAGCTTTTGTTTACAGAGACGATGTAGAAGCGTAGAGAACATGTCGCTACTCCACGGATCTTATACGCGCGTTTCTCCTTTCCGTGGCTCTATGTGCTTGAGCCCACGGGTAAGAGGAGAGTTCTCAGTGAAGAACGCCCAAGGAACTTTGGCGTCGCCCCCTCATTAAAGGGCACACCACGCGGGGTTGTCCTATATGTGAGGACCGACTCGGAGCAGAAGCCGTGTCCCTGAAGGGTTCCAAAATCGCAATTAGTGACTCGATCAACATTATTAGCGGGGCTGCGGAAACGTCTCTATATATACGAGCCCACTTATGAGACCGATGGCGTATATGGTTGGTTATCTGCACAGTCTTCGCGCATCGAGCGGAGGCAACTGCTCTCCATAGTAACAGTGCGGGGCCAGGCCCCTAAGGTCCCGAGTGCAGGGTGCAAACCATGCAGGCGGGATGCCACTCGTGGCCATTCTACACAAACCTCGAGACGAGACGACGAAATCGGGCGCGTAGGCATGCGGGGACGAAGACACACATAAGCTGGGTGCCGTTGACCACACTGCTCTGCGTGCATTAGCGCGCCCGATAATGAAACACAAACTTTAATCTTGTTAACGATGCCACAAGCCATTATAATTGTTTCCATGAATTTCCACGAGCAGTTTAGGCAAGCGCATCGCCATTTTGGACAGTGGAAAGCGTATACGCTTCTGCAGCTCAGAAGCCTGCATAGTAAAGTCGGGTTCAATGCTGAACTGGAGGGACAGCAACGCTTATCTCATACATGCTACAGCGGTTATTATATCGTACAGAATGTTCATACTGCACTGCAAATATCCTGACCTTCTGTAGATCTGGTCATATATGACGCGTTGGCAAAACACGCTTCTGAAGTCGGCGAACTTCGCCTTCCACATTCGGCAAAAAGAAGTTAGATGACTGCAGTATGTCCTGCAGTTTTTAAAAAAGGCTTCTTTTTGGCTGGCCAAAAGTCTGCTCTTCGTCTTGGCACCCTAGCTTTGGTGGGCATTTTTAAGCAGCAGAAGGCGGGGAAGGGGCTTTTAGGTCGGCGGTGGACTCTTTCTCGAGAGTGCTCGGCCGGCAGCGGCTTCTTCCCCGGCTCGTGCGTCGGCGGCTCCCGCGGGGTGACGTGTCGGCGTCGCCTTTGACCGCCGTCGCGCGCACGGGCCAATTTGTCGCCGGCAATGGCCAAACAAAAACCTGCCCCTTCTAGCAGGGGCACCCACGGCTCGTCTTCGGCACCCCTCCCCGACAGTCTCTCGCCTGGGGCTCCGCCGAGCGTGCCTCTGCTCAAAAGGCTCGCTGTTGTTGCAAACATTTGGCGGCACTGGTCCACTCTGCGGGACGCGTCCTCTTTCGCCCCGCTGGTGCCCATTTCGGCATTCTCTTTTGCAAAGCCATTTGGCGTGACTTATCGGCAGAAAAGTGCTGTCTGCCCACCCCAGCCCCCATCCCTGATGCCGGGAGAGCGGTTTCGGTTCACACCCGTGCTTGTCTCTCTCTTTCAGGCTTTCGTCGCCACAGGCACCAACCTGCAGCTTGTGTTCAGCCCCTGCCACAATGGCTACGTGGACTGCTGCGATTTCGATAAGGAGCGTGGAAAGGTCAGTGGAGCCGCGTATCTTTGCTTACTTTTCCTCCCTCTCTTTCTTCTTACCACTGTTCGTATCTGCAGTGTGTGGGGATGAAGGCTGTCTCGAATGGTCACGCGTGTTGCCGCAGAGCCGTGCTTGAACATTGCACTTGTGCATGCAATTATTGTGTGTCGTAATCATGATATGACGAAATGCACAAATGACGAAATCTTGTCGTATGGCTTCTCAGTGTACAGCCCCTTGTTGAAATCTCGCAATTAAGCAAAGAATGAGATATTGTTCTTTGCAGACGCCATGGTATGGGTTTTTCTTCCTTTAAACTACACCTGTAAGTTAGCTTCAGTCCGAGCTAATCCTACAATGCGCTATCTAATATAAAAAATTAAAAAGGCAGAAGAAAGGCAGGTCTCCCTTCTTCTGCCTTTTTGGTCCTCTGTATCCTTGTTTAATGTAACGGGACGGTCATTTAAGTGCGTGTGCGGCATTCACTCCGTATTTCGCGTCGTGCTTCACGCGTGCTAACTAATGCAGGAGTCCGAAACCTTTTGTGTCAACAATGTGTCATTGAATGTTAGTACATTACTTACGTAAAATATTAAAAACAGCAGGACGAACTATGCCGCTGTCCTAGTGAATTCCGCGCTCAACGACTGCTGATGTCTACCGTTGCGAAGTGTTGGCGACACAACCTGTTACCGTCAAAATATTTCACGATGCATAACAGAATGTATGTCTCATAATCACGTGTCCATGAATGTCTCCCTCATTGTCTATATGAGGGTCGCAAGTCCTGCTTACCCTGCTTACTTCCAGCTTTGTTTCATGTAATATTTATGGTTGATCCTACAATACATTGCATGTGCTGCTGTAACTTCCGCGCACTGCTTGTCATATAATTTATGAGGATTTATCAAGCCTCCGCTCATGACCAAGAGCTGCGTACGCCCATACCGCTCTTGAGAATGGACGCTGCAAGGCGGCTACAATCACTTGCTCGCCGTATAACTATCCTACACTGGAATACGCCGGGTTTCTTCAACGCGCCCTTGTATTCGATCGACCCAAACTTGCAACTTCGTTTGCCATCCGGGCTCCCACGACGCGACGAAACTTTGCTGTGTCGCATGAGGTTAGGCGCGGCATTTACGAACGCGTATTCTTGTCTCCTTGGAATGGCGAGAAGTTCGGCATGCATCATTTGCGCCTGCGAGGAGACGCTTGAGCTCAGTCTATGCCACTGCCCAGCATACCAGTCTGAACGACGTATTATGGAAGCCAAGCTCCGTCAGCTGGATTCACGACCACTTACAGAAGAGAAGTTCCTGGGACCTTGGCCGACCGTTTCGCGTAAAGCCACGAGAGCCCGCTTGTGCTTCTTGAGGACCGCTGGACTTCACGAACGCTTGTGAAAAAAACAGCGTGTGGCCGTGCTGTGTAGCCTCGAGCTGGCTATTCATCCTTCTCTTTCTTACTCCTCTTCTTTTCTATTTCCTTTCTATTATTTCCCATTTACCCCACCCCAAGTGTAGGGTAGCCAACAGAGCCAAGCTTGGTTAACCTCCCTGCCTTTCTTCTCTATTTCTCTCTCTCTGATTGGGTTGTTTCTCTCTTACTCTTTCTGTTTAAGACCTCACGCCAGAAAAGTGAACATGTATTAGCAACTGATTTTGCATTAAAAAAAAACTGTTACGAAAAAGTTGTCTTCATGCAAAAATATCATACGGTGTAGTGTGCCTGCGTAACTCCCTCTAATGATTAAATATAGATAATTTTGCGGAGACCTGTCGTGAGAACGAACAAAGTTACAATATGGAGTGAACCATCGATCTGGCGCTTTTTCAAACTAACCAATTACGAGCTGCACTGGCGCAGCACGTCTGCCCCCTGTGCAGACCGAAAGCGTTTCTATGTTGTATATAGGTATTCACCTCACAAGCTACTCGACTTTCGAGTGCGCCATGACCGAGTAAACAGACAGTGTTTCCCTGAACCGCAGATATGCAGTTGTCAACATTGCGGTCAAGTATTTTCGCCAGGTCCAGCTATCTTATCCGCATCCCGCTCTTGTTGCGCGCCTCATTGCGAGCGATGAAAGTGGAGGTGTGCGGCGCGAACACCGCCAGGTCGCTTGCTATCGGTGTACGAAGGTCACGAATGGCCTTTGTTCCTGCCAGAAGAGGTGGGAGAAGGCGGACTCGATGGATAAACAACTATATACCACCATATCATGCCGAAATATGCCGTGCCAGACAAAGCATACGCGAAGCTTCGTCTAAAAAAAAAAAAACGTTATCGAAGCGTAATAAATATAGCGCTATTGTGCGTGCAAGTGACCTCTAGAGACAAAAAAAAAATGTTAAGTCGTTTTCTGTTTATCTTTGTTTGCTTCTTTAGGCTACAGCTTGAAAAACCGGCAACATTCTGAACTCGTATAATTTTGTTACCGCACCACCATATATATGACTGGTAAGCCGACGTTATGTAGCATGTATACAATGTGGCAGGATGGACACACCTCCTAGGGCACATTCTTTTTATTTGTTATTGTCACCGTGTACATGCCTCCTGGAGGGAGCTCAGCTTTCATAAGGACTTCGTTGAAGACATTGAAAAATATTCCAAAAATATGAGCTTTACTATGCAGTTTTGCACTCCTGCTGCGCTGAGCAGACATATTCAATTTGAATAACCTCCCCTCTTTTCCTAAATTCTTCATGTATTTTTTTGCCTATCCACTTCATTCTATATGAAAAGGGTCCTCATTCTATCTTGAGTGAATCTTTCTCTCTCTTAATTTTCTCGTAATTCTGGCTCAATTTGGTTCCATTGTACCATAATTAACTCCGTCAAAGCTCTTGAATTGCGTATTTTGTTGTCTCAGATCGTTATGCAAACGTTCACACATGTCTTTAAGACACCCGCGGAGTGTTTGAGGACAGCCTCGATAGTGCGGCACAGTTATGTTTCAGATAGTGTACTCCATCATTGGTGCTTTGGTAGAAGCGACAATAATCAACGTCTCATGAGGAACGTGACATCTCGATGTATTCATCAAGATGGCATGGAACTGTGCGTTAATTGCTTCTCATTTGAACACCACGGTTAGGAAAGGATTCGTATCGTCACTCGAGGACGAATCAAGCTGCATGAGTGGCCGCGGTGGCGCGCTATAGCTGTGCGCAGCCGAGGGTGTCGGCTTAACGCGGCATCAGGGGCTCACCCTTGGCCAAACGGTCAATTAAGCAAACAGCTGTTCGGCGCAGCTCAGAAATCCGACGCAGCGTGTCTAGGACGTTTGAAACGCGAGGCCGGATGCAGCGTGGATTCCGGTGATCCATGCCGGGGTGAACAGCTGGACGCGTCGAAGAGGCCGTAAGGACCACAGTCATCGAACTGTAGCAATCGCGCTTCCGTATGAGAGCAAGCTCTCAATCGGACGCGATCGCTATCGCGCTCCTGGACGGTGTCCGTGGGCGCGCGCACCAACACAGTCATCAGGTGCCCGATGACGGCAATCGCCTGGCGGGAGCGTGCTCCGTCGCCGAGCAAGTGCGCTTGTGTACACAGGCCGGCGCTCGTAGCTGCCAAGCCGTCCGTGTCGGTGTAAAACAGCCATGAGGAAGTACACCGGCTCACTGCTTGGTCACGCTACGCTGGCCCGTCTAATGCGCACCGCCAGAAAAGGTGCGCGCGCACCTCGCGGAGGTGTTTCTAGTGCGCCGCGACCGCAGAGCCGACGACGGCACTCGGGTCGCCGTCGAGAGGTTGTTTGCCGCCAGGCGGCGAGCTGCTGCGTGCACAGACCACCGCGAATGCTTGCGTGCACGCGCACCCTTGAGCGGGAAGCCATTTGGGCGCATCCTGTCCCCGGAACTCGCGACCGCAACAGAAAAAGCTTCAACCACCAAGATGTCTCTCCGGAGTGCGTAATATATACAATGAGCAGCACACGTTGCTTCGCTCCATGAGGCTAGATATTTGTGCTTTTCAGGAATCGTTGCTTTTCGCCTTTCAGGTGGATGTTCCACTGATGCTATATAAGCGCAAATTGTGCACCTCAAGTTTTCAAGACCTGTGGAACCAAATATTTATTGTAAACGAATGTGCTCAAGCGTGTAACATCCATGGGCACTTAGTGGAGCGTGTATGCATCGACATAACAGTGATAATACTCTTGACGATGCTGTACAATAACGGCAGGTTTAACCAGATATAATAAGTACCCCCTTTTCCAGGTGCTGGTATATAGCGAACACAGTGCAAAAGGCGCACGCACGTCTTCAATGGACTTAAACGGCTCATGTTGAAAAATGTCGTATACACTCTTGAGGTCAGTTCCGTTCCACCGTGTTTTTTCCTCCTCCTCTTCGACGGCGGCACAGACTCTCCTTGCAGAGTTCCCTGAACGGCGAACTCATGGCTACGGGGAAGGCCTTCACCGACCCGCTCTGTGGCCAACAGATCGGTTAAGGAGCCGCGGCGCCTGCTGGCGGCGGCCACGCGCCAGCCTGACCCCAGTCCGCCCCCGCCCTACGCGTCAGCCCCACCCGGCTTCTCCGTCCGTTTTAATTGCAGGTGCGGCCGCTCCCAACTGGACTCGCGCCTGGTCTGCCGCCACAGCATTCCACGGTCGGCTCGACGAGGCAAAAGGAGCCGCGGTTGCCTATACCTTTGCGGCCGCACTGTCGGCACCTCCTCTGGGCATTGCGCTGCCTCGTGCCGCCAGCAGATAAACTCCGCAAGTTCACAAAGCACACCCCCGTACGGCACGAAAACGCTCCAAGCACTCGTCCGCGCGTGCTCAAGGGTGCGGGAAATGCCCTCAAAGCACGCAGAGCCCAGTGAGCGAAATAATGTGCCAAATAAAGAGCTTCGAAAAGTCCATCGTTCCATGTGCCATCGCATACATCCATGTGATACGTGCATATATACTTCCTAGTTGCACCGGCCCGCATTTAGAATACAACCTGTTTGATGGTACGGATATATAGCAAGATAACAGTAGCTGC